CTAGCCTAGCCTCCCTCCCTTCTCCACAGCAAGAATTCCAAGACCCCGCACGATGGCGCCTAATTGACTACTGCATGGCCTCTTCATCCGGCTCAGATGAGCCACACCTTCCTGAGATCCTCAAACCGAAAACCAAATGAAATAAACTAATCCGCGTCCACGCATTTCCACGACCTCCAAGTCACGCAACCGGTGTGGATCAGGGCATCTGCGCCCAGCGGGAACCCTGCAGCCGTTCCCCAGTGAACCTAGGGATCTTAAAACATTCCCCACTTGGGTAATGAATACAGAATTCTCCAGTAAATCTCACGCCTGACCCCCTCCAGCAGAAGAACAAAGGCCACCTCCCCTCCCCACCCCGCCCCCCAAAATTCCGCAGTGCCACCAGCGCCCTCTGGCGGCCATCAAGAAAACATTCCAGAAACCTGCCACGTAGCAACCCGCTAGCGCCCCCCACACACACGCACGCGCGCGCACGCACACACACACACTCACACTCACACACACACACACACACACACAGCCCGCCATCCCTGAGTGGGGAGGGGGTGGTATGGGGGGGCTTGACAGGGACAAAGGAAATGACAAACGGCGACTTGATCAAAAATCAAAAGCCCGCAGCATGTCAGAATCTTCCAGAGACCATCACGCAATGCTGAAAGGACCCTCCGACCCCCAATTCCCAGCTCACGGCGCCCAGACCTCCCAAACACACCCCCTTTTCTGCTTTTTCCTCTCTTCCCTCTTGCTTCCCAGACACAGCCTTCTCTCCACGCCAACCCACCCCCCTTTCCTCCCCTGCCAGGACCCCCAATTACAGGGCCCTCCCTCCATCCGCCCTGCCTACAGAACTGATCGCGGGGGGCTTCTGGCAGGTTTGCACTTGGGCGCCATCTCTCTCCACCGTTAACAAGGAGGTTTATCCGAGTGAACCCAGATGATATCGGTTAGAAATTTTACTCTTCGTTTTTCACTAAAGCGGGCTCTGCACCCAATCCGAGTGCTCGCCTCGGGAATCCCTGGCGGGTAAGAGCCTCTACTCCTCACGCCCACAGGCCACCACCGTGCTCAGCAGAACCTGGGGGGTGGGAGGACTATGCCCAGGAGACCTTTCTCTTCGGGTGCTTTTCCCCCCTAATCCGCGAGGCATGCAGAATGCGTCGGCCGCCATATCTCCCACCATTTGTGGTTCGAAAGGTAGCTTTCAACACAGAAAATCGGGGCTTTGGACCCCAGTGACTACGGGACACGGATTCCGACAGGGGTTTGGGGCCGATTCCTCCCACTCCTCTTCATTTAAGCCCCCACCACCCTCCCTACCCTCATGAACTGGACGAAAATGGGGCCCTGATTCCCCCCCAAAAAAATGTGCCTCGAGATTTTCCTTCCTGACAGCATTTTGTTGCCGATGCTTGGGACCAGGCGAGGTGGCCACCTTTCAGAGAAGGTCCCGGCGGTTGTCCTTCGGCATGTCCAGGAGGACAGCGGCCGACCCGGACGAGGGTGTCGCCTTTATTTTGCACATCCTTTCCGCCAAGGATGGCCGACGACTCACCTGGCGGGGAGATTCTCGCGTGGGCGCCCCGGGTCTTCGGAGGAGCTGCGGCCCAGGCCAGCAAGGCGAGGCGCGCTCCATCCAGCTCGTCGCCGTCTGCGCTAGGGGCTGGCTGGGTGGGGTTTATATGGAGGCGCAGAAGGGGTGGTCTCTGACGTCAGCGCATTCTGCTGCAATGCGCTCATTTCTCCAAAAGTGATTGGCTGGAAAAATGAGCCCCCCAGATTCTATGACAAATTGCTCTGGCCGCACCCAGATTGCAGCAAAGAAGGGAGGAAAAAATTCTGCCGCAGTGCCCCTCGCCGCCATGACCAACACCCAGTGCTCACGGGTGTTTTTTCCCTCCACGAGCCCCGCTCGCCACCCGGGCCATTTGTGTGCACCGTCTTCCGAGAGAAGGGGACCAGGGGTGTTTTTTCGCGGGTGGGCCGAGGGTAGAGCGGGGCTCCAGGGGTGCTCGGGCACGCACCTGGCTTTTTCGGAACCTCTATTCGAGGAGGCGTCTTAGGGAGAGAAAAGGATGCTGCCTGCGTATTGTCCTGGAAAATCACATCCCGGGCAAGATAACCGATTCCCAACCGTAAATCTGCGCCTGCCACCCCCTGTAAGCCCACCCGCCCATTTCCGATCGGTTCCCTTTGACACGGGAGACTAGCCACACAGCGCCTTCGACTCTGAAAAATAAAAACTTAAAAAATAAACGAGAGAAAAAAAAAACGGGTTTTGAGTCCAGGCTCTACTGCTCTTTACAACCCGTGCGCCCAGAACCTGCAGTACCCCCTCCTCTGCTAGGGGGCCCGTTTCTCCACGCTAACAAGGCGGTACCCCCTAACGGGATTGTGATAGGAACCTACGCCTGAGCTTTGTCCCTCTAGGGACAGGACTTTTCGGGGTCTGTGTCCCACCTGGAGATGAATGGGGTACCCCCCCCAAAGAAATGGAGGTGCTTTGCCCACACGTTCACTTTGGAGAGCAGCCCCCCACTGCCCCGCAGCGCCCCGGGGAGACGGGCAGTGACACATGTTGCCGCAGAGCCGGGCCGGGCCCCCGGGAACCGATCCCTAACAGGTGGCGCTCTCGGCAGCTCGGCCGGGCACCGAGGGGCAGAGCGGGCAGGGCCGTCAATCAAATGTCCTCCCGCAAAGGTCAACACGCTGTTGAAAGGGACTAAGGATCTATCTTAGGGTGACAGGTGGGTGCCAGCCGGGAGGGCACGGATGAAGCGCCTGGTGACAGGAGCGGGGTGAGCATGAGTGATGGGTCCCCGAGGGGCAAGGGAGCGGGGCCCCGCGGGGGTATCGGGTTGGAACAGCGCCCCCCGCCCTTCCTGCAGGGCAGCTTCCGAGAGCGCCCCCCCCCCACTGCCCCGGGGGCCCCGCGGTCCTTGGAGGCGGCTGTAGCACAGACGGGGTGTCCTGGGGCAGAGACGAAGGGACAGGGCTCTTTGTAGAGGCCACGGCTAGTGACGGGGAGGTGACCAGGGGCCACCAGGCCGCGGAGACACCCCGCGCCTTGGGCACCGGGCTCGTGGGTAGATCCACGGGCGCCGAGGACAAAGTGGGCTTTGGGGTTCACGGCGGGGAGCCGCCCTAACGTGTCAGATCATGGGAAGAAGGCAAGGACACCCCGCTGATAGCTTGGGGGGCGTGCAAGGCGCCTCGGGGACGAGAGCCCCCCCAACTGGAAGGCCTGCGCCAACCACAGACGTCAAGAAAGCTTCAAAAAATCATGGCTCCGAGCATCCCCGTCAACAGGAGAACGTTTATTAGCCACGGTATTAATAGCTAGGAAACAGCCCGAGCGGCCCGGGCCAATCAGCGGCCAGGAGCCCCTGTCGTCAGGCCTGCTCGGCCAATCAGGCGCCAACAGGCCGAGTTGCTAGCCTGCCCGGGCAGAGGAGAGGGGCTTGCATTGTCACGGGGGCTCCAGCTCGCCCTCCACGCGTGGGAGGCCAGTGTGGGAGCCCAGGCAGCCACCAGAGAGCGTCCATCGTCACGCACTCGGGGTCCCTGGAGTCTGTCTTAGAGGCAGTGCCTCCTGGCATGAGTCCTGCAGCCCCAGAGATCATGAGCTGACACTCTGGCAGGAGCCCCCGGCCTGGGTTGGGGTGCCTCCGGGAGGCCCAGTGGAAGGAGAAACTCCAGACATGCAATGCGCATCTCTCTCCAACAGGCTGGGCCCCACGAGGGGAGCGGGGCCTCCCAGCGCCAAGTCAGCCTCTCTTGCTTTTTTTTTTTTTTTCTTGCTTTTTTTTTCTGGGCTCCCTGGCTCCTCGCCTGCTGCTCTGAGGTTCACAGTAAACCCTGCTCCTCTTTTTCAGGGTCTTCACTGACAGGCCAAGCCAAAGGACCCTGGAAATGATGTGTTTCTGACAAAAGTGGGGCGGGTGTGCGTCCCAGCGCTGCCCCCTCCGATCTGGGAGGCTGGGGTCCAAGCCCTTCTCCCAGGGCCCCCTATGTCCTCATCTGGAAAAAAGAAAGAGTTGGACAAGATGGTCCCCAAGGAGCCTCACAGCCCTGCTTTGCTTGATTTGAATGTATACATCAGGCGAGTCGAATGTCTTCCAGAACATTGTGCCTGACAGTAATTAGTATCAGGTGTGCCCTGCAGCCCATGTGGTTACTTCATCACGCTGCTTTTCTTTCCATTGTATTTTATTTTAAACAGAACTCCATGGCAACATGTGTATTCTTCTGGCTCCCTAAAAGAAAGGAAGAAAGAAAGAAAAAGATAGAAAAAGAAAAAGGCTGCTGTAAACGGATCTCGCTGAGTGTGGTTTAACCACACTACAAAAAAATTTTAAAAAAGTAAGAAATCCATATGTTTAAATGTTTTTGTTGGCTTTTCTGAAGCTCAGAACCTAACTTTTAAAATATTTATTGGTCCAAAGCAATGGAAGAAATAACTTAAAAGAGCCAATCTATGGCAATCTCTGGATCCCAACGGTTCCTCCATGCGGGCGGTATCGGGCATGCTTTCCTCGCTCAAAAAAGACCTTGGAGGGCTCAGATTCATATCTAAAGGGCAGAACAGACGAGGAAATCCAGGTTGAGGAACGGCTCACTGTCTTTTCTGTACATGCTGAAACCCAACTCTCCTGAACGGCCCTGGAGGAAAGCCACGTCCCAGACGCACGGCTTAGCCTACTGCCTTTTTTTTTTCTTCTTCACGTAGATCTAATTCAAAGCACACATTTTTCTTCTTTTTTTAATTCATACTTGGGAACCCTCAAAAGCCATGTGAGCGGTCTTCTATCCACATGTACATACTTGTGGGCAAGTGTACAACCGTCCTAAGATTCAGCCAGGAACGGAGGACAAGGTCCTTCTCTATCCATCTCCCGGGTGTGGGTCAATGCGCTCTCCTCTCAAAACTATACTGAGAGCTTTTACAGAACAGGATCCCCTCTAAGCAGGCCTTTTCAGCCTTCTAGGGACTCTCACCGCCCCCGCCCCCTCAAAATCGTTGTGTTCCCCAGAGATCTCCCCGGGCCCTTCTCTGAAGCCCCTTTCAGTTGCTGGGCTGGGTGTCCAACAACAGTCCCATCCGTATCCCAGGGTCCTGGGATTGATGGGGTCTTCTAGAATGCACACCAACCCACACAGCCTTTCAGGGACCTGATTTTGCCTTCAAAATAGAGGTTAGCCTCTTTAGTTGGACATTTAAGGACTCGTGTGATGGGCTCACTTCTTACTTCTTGTGGCTTATCCAACTTCAACTCGTACCCAAATTCCCTTCAAGTTGTATATTTGGGGGGGTGGGGGGGGCGGTCCCTGCTATGTTGTGATCCTGGAGTTGGGGAGTGAGGAGCACCATGGCTGCCTGCACACTTCTGGACTTCTACCCAGGACCCCGATATCAGGAACACTCTGCTCCCCTGAAACCTGAATTCTGGAGGCAGCGCCAACCTTTGCATAGAGGCGTATGCCGAACTGTAGATATTAAAAGACAAATAAAATTCGGCCTTTTGCAAAAGGCCAGGGATAAAGCTTACTTCCCGGTAGACCTCTGGGCTTCCAGGAAGAGCAGAGCAGAGCGTGTTGACTCTGAGGTCCGTGTACATGGGAGAGAGTAAGCATTGCTCCTTGGGGATACTTGTCATGACCACAGACAGGGAAAAAGAACTAGAAGGTAACACCCCCAAATTACCCCGTAACACCCCTAAAAACCATGACTTGTTCTGGACAATAGATTCTGGCCATTTTTCTTTTTTCTACTTTTATGGATTTCTTTATTGGCATATATTGCTTTCATAATGTACATTTTTCTTTTTAATGTAACAATCCAAGAAGACTGGGCCATTTAAGCCTCTTCCTTAGGGACCTCAAATATGTAATATTTTTCTAATAAGTAAATAAAAATCAAGACACTCCGGATACCCTGCCTGAGGAGCTCGAGGCACAGTCCCCACCAGGGGCTCCAGCGCGGGGTGTGCACCGCAGGGGCCTGGAGCCGGCCCCACAGCCACATCAGACCTCTGGAAGGCCTCTCTGGAACCCACCACAGAGGTGAACAATTCCAAGCTGGGAACGACAACAACAAAAAGCGAGCTCCATTGGTTTCATTCCTGCAGGAGGGGCCTAGAAAAATCCATCGCCTAGGGAATGAGAGAGGCCAAAAAATGGGGTCTTGGCAAAGCAGCCAGCGCCAGGGGTGGGATTTTAGAAGAAGTCACATCCTGACACCAGGAAAACGCGGCCACGTCGCTCAGCCTCGCCCCCACAGGGCCCCCCTGGCTTTGGGCGTGGGCCAGCCCCGGATTTAAGCTAGGGGTTTTCTTGGCCCAACTCCATGGAAATATTTCCTTCGTGGAGCAAAGAACTGCTTCATTCGACTGCCTGCGGCTAGGGAGGGGGCTGGCTTTACTGTGTTGACAGAGAACGCAGAGGCCTGGGGAGGGGCCCCAGAGGAGAAAATGTATTCCAGGTAGAACAGGACTGGAAAGTTTGCTTTTAAAAAAAAATTTTTTTTTTTTTTTCAAAAAAAAACCTCGAAAAGATTGCTGACAGTTGAAAAACTGCCACCCCACCCAAGAGGCTCCAAGAGAAGACATTTGTTTGTACTAGATTTCAGGGAGGACTACAGCAGGGACCTGTCTTCTTAACGGCAAAGGGAAGGGAGCCAATTCCGGGCATGCTTTCAGTTTAAACATTCGAGGTCTGGATCCTTCCAGAGCCCACAGTGGGCCTCCCTGAGCCAGGCCTGGTGATAGCTGTGTCAGCGCTGGCCCAGAAGCCACCAGCTCACTAGTGGAGAGTCAAGGGCACCCAGGGGACCCCACAATTAGATGCCCGGGGCACAAAGAGGTGTGGGGCAGGTTTCTGGGGGCGAGTTGACCCTCCGTTTGTGAGACCCAGCTCCCCTGCCAATGATAGGAACATGGAATATCTTCACCAAGAGATGAGATGGTTCATTCTACCACCTAGTGCCACCCAGGGGAGGCCAGAAGCTGGGAAAACAGCCCAGGACAGAGCATGGCAGGCA